AAACAAAAACAAAAACAAAAACAAACTTGTTGCTGCTGACGCTTTCCTTCTAAGGTGGATACTAAGCAGAATCATCCATTTCTGGGCCCCACCATATCCTTTACCCTTAGGAGAGGTCAGATGTGTGAGAGTGGGCTAGAAGACACCCATGTAAAAATAATATATATGCCCGTTTACTGATGATTATTTATTCCCATTTTTCATTTAACACAGGATTTGAGTACGTTTAATATTATGTACAATGCAGTGCTTTGATGAACATTCTTCAGCAATTTAAATAAGTAAGATACTTCTTGAACTACTCATGACCTCAACAAGGGACCAGGAAGCATCTATCAAACACTGCACAAACACAACGCACATGTGGGTATGAGTGCTGCTCTGCAGACAAAGCAGACACACTGCTGCTGTGTGTACCAGTGACATTTAAGAGAAAAAAATGTGTAAGTATAAGCAGTGAAATCCATTGACATGTATGTGCCATTGTATCCATTTCTGGGCCCCACCATATCCTTTACCCTTAGGAGAGGTCAGATGTGTGAGAGAGGGCTAGAAGACACCCATGTAAAAATAATATATATGCCCGTTTACTGATGATTATTTATTCCCATTTTTCATTTAACACAGGATTTGAGTACGTTTAATATTATGTACAATGCAGTGCTTTGATGAACATTCTTCAGCAATTTAAATAAGTAAGATACTTCTTGAACTACTCATGACCTCAACAAGGGACCAGGAAGCATCTATCAAACACTGCACAAACACAACGCACATGTGGGTATGAGTGCTGCTCTGCAGACAAAGCAGACACACTGCTGCTGTGTGTACCAGTGACATTTAAGAGAAAAAAATGTGTAAGTATAAGCAGTGAAATCCATTGACATGTATGTGCCATTGTGTGTGTGTGTGTGTGTGTGTGTGTTATTAGAAAGCTCAATAAACATTTGTGCTCTTACTCTGTGTCATGAACAGATTCAGCCCTGAGAAGGCAGGCCAGTTTTATTGCCACTGTGTTAAGGTTGAGGAGCCTGCCTCAGGGTCACATCCCGAGCATTTCTGTAGACCCATTTAAAAGGTCAGTACTGAGGAGGCCAGTTCCCTAGTCCATGTCCTTTCCTCGGTCACCCTCTCTTCCTCCTGTTTCTCCCTCACTGGCTTTGTCAGATGCTGTATTTTCAGTATAGAGCCTGATACTTTATAGTTGTACGTATTGAATTCTCTTGAAAGGGAGAATTTATCGAGCATTTTCTATGGTGAGGACTAAATAGGACCAGAAAGACTATTTCATCGTAGAACTACCCTTCAAATACTCATAAAAGTTGGGAGGATGGGGATTATTATTCACAGAGTGAATAAAGAATAGGAAACTAGGTAACCAGTATTAGACAGCATCTGGATAATGCTTTAAGGTATATGGATCACCCTCCCCACCCCATAGACTGTCACTTAAATCGTGCATTTGACTTTATGATAAGGAACCAGTTCAAAAAGAAAAACGAAAATTAAAAAATAAAATAAATAAAAAACTGCCAAAGACACATGGCTAGTGAGCAAGAGCTGGACTCCAATAACTCTGACACCACTGTGCTCTCCAACCATACAAAGTTGCTGTTCATAAGGTTAACAGATACAGTTCAGGGAATGGAGAAAACAGCCTGACATGCTTCTGGGCCTTTAGGGATATGCAGTGGTAGAAGAGAAAAGCTTTCCAGCTGGGGAAGAACAGGAGCAGAAAGGTCTGGAGTACGGAAGAGCAATGAGGGGAGAAGTCTCTCCTCTGAGGAGAGAATCTTTATAGCCAGATGGAGAGGTAGCGAGGACACGAAGTGTTCATAACATTCTAGGGTGAAAAGTATGGCTTGTCTCGACTTACCAGAAAGAACCACTCGAGAGTATAAAACAGTTGTTAGGAAAACTTCCCTGGTAAGGCATGAGAGATAGATACACTGGGGCAGGACAAGAGGGAGGAGAGAATGAAGACCAGGGTTTAAGCAGGAATCTACTGTAGTAATCAGTAATAAAGGTTGAGGATTAAGAATAGGAGAGTGAGAATGACCAGGAATGAAGGAATTTAGGTGGAACTATGACGAACATTTTTTTTCTTTTTTCTTTTTTGGAGAGGTTTTTGCTATAGGGCGTGTGTGCTCACCAGACAGACAGAGAGAGACATAGAGACAGAAAGCAAGAAATCACCCCCCAGGGGGGATGGTCACGCCGCAATCCCTTCTCCTCCATTCTCCTCTCGGGATCTTGGGCACGCACACACATGCACCCAGCGTGAGTTTTAAGTCACTGGGTTCAGGATGTGAACCACAGTCGACTACATGGGAGTCCAGCGACATAGCCATTACGCTAACTGCTGGTCCCTATGAAGGACATTTTTATACCTATTGGCTGATGGGAGAGCTGGGGAAAGGAGAGGGGAGTGAAGTGGGCCTGATAAAAGGTTCTACCATAAAGTGCTAGTTAATATTCCAATATGCACCAGAAGACCAAGGAGCAATCTGGTGTCCTTTCATTTTGATTCAAGGCTAATTATTAACATAATTAAGGTTGTATATCTTTACTAAGGGTTTGGAACAGCTTAATTTTGACTGAGTATTGCTCTTGAGAGTGAATCTAGTGGGAAAAATTGAAGAAAGTAAGATAAAAAGGCCAGTGAGTTCCGTCCAGAGACACAATACCATGTTATGGAAATAACAGAGGTAGCATGAAAGGGAATGATTGATCCAATCAGTGCCAAATTTTAAATTTAGAATGTGCCTCTTTGGTAGCAGTATGGAGAACTCATTAGAAAGGAAAAATGTACATAGGATAATCTGTTCCATGAAATCCTGGAAGGAAACTTTCTAAACCCAGAGAGGCATTCAAAGATCCAGTCCCAAGAAATACAAAGGACCCTAATTAGAATCTACCCAAGAAGATCTTCTCCAAGACACATTATAGCCAGACTGACCAAAATCACAGACAAAGACAAGATACTAAGATTGGCAATAGAAACACCAAGTTACCTACAAAGGATATCCCATCAGAATCAGCAGACCTCTCATCGGAAACAGTGTGAGTGAGGGAAGAATGGGAAAATATATTCAAAGTGTTAAGGGAAAAGCAAAATCAACCAAGAATACTGTACTCAGCAAGATTACCCTTCATATGGGAAGACAGGACAAGAACATTCTCAGATAAACAAAACCTGAAAGAATTTACCAACACCCGACCTGATCTCCAAGAAGTTCTCAAGGGAGTGCTGGCTCTATCAGGAAAACTAAATAGAGACACACAGAAGTAAGAGTTAAAAAACTAAGACAGTGCCTAGCATAATCGTAGGGACAAGTTTGGAGTATTATATCCCAGAATTTAATCAGGAAGATCGAACCACATCAGAAGATAGATTAAGTACATGAGACTGAAATGGTGAAATAGCATCTTATGACTTTTGACTAAAACATTGCTGATTTTCTTCTAGGCTTTGTTTTCCAGTTTTAAGGATTTTTGTCCTGTCTTGAGCTGCCAATAGATTCATGCACCTACTATTTGAACAGAATCCTAACCTATTTCCTGGCTTTAAGTTTCAACCAAAGTTCCTTAGCATTTTTTTGATTTAGTAAAGCTAAAACTGCTTTTCTTAAGAAAAAAAAAAAAAAAAAGGAAAAGGAAGGAGACCAGATAGATCAATAGTTAAGGGTAAACAAGGAAGTTAGAACTAAAATATGACTGAGTGTGAAGAAAAAGAGGGGATAAAAGCGAACACATTACCATTATTTTAAAGCACTTCTGAGCAGGTACTCTGTTAAACAGCTTATGAGCATGGCTCTAGGGTTCCTTAGGTGTTCATCAGATGGACTGGGTGGCAGACTAGATGTTAAGTAGAAGCAGGACTTGAGGACAAGTGACTATATCATTTTTGGCCGCAGGGTCAATGGTAGAGGAGGGTAATGAGCATGGTTTTTAAAACATTGAGTTTGCAGTACCTGTTGGCCATCCGAGTGGCATGGTCTAGCAGGCAGGTGGAAATAAAAACTGGAGCCCTGAGGAGAGAAAAAAAACAGGAGTTTGTTAGGTTGTTCATTTTTGCCAAAGATCTCGCCAATATCAGGTTTAAAGACCTGCACAGGAAACAAAGAAATTATGTAAAATACAGAACTACATGTACCTTTAGTTCATCTCTCACACAAACAAATGCACTCAATACCCTCCTTTCTGAATATAGCCATTTAAAACTGGGACAATTTAATCGTTTATGATGACAACTGAATTGCCTATGACGTAAAGTCTGTTATGCTATAAAACACAACACACATGGACACACACACAGACACAATGACGCCTCTTTGAATGGCTTCTTCTTGACTGCCCAGTTGGAGGTACACAGGGTTGCAAGCAATCAAAGACATTTTAGTTTTAAATAACTTCCAGTCTCTCTACTGCAGGTGGTTCATTGCCTTTGTGATCAGAAACTGCCAACTCTTTGACACAACATGTAAGAGCATATTTTTCATTTTCTATCAGTCTAAAAAAGTGGCTACCTCTCCTGAACTCCTTTGAGCTTTAATAGAATCATGAAGGAATTTCAGATGTTTCGTTTTTCTCCAGTTAATCTCTACTTAATATACTAAATACTTATTTTGTTTATTTTCTTTTTATATATGTTTATTTCTTGGAAGTGAGAGAGGTGGGCATCCCTAACAAGGTCCACCCTCAACCAGCCCATATCCCAGACATGCCATGTGTGTACAGGAATGCCTTGGAACACAATGCTGGGACCTTCCCAGATGGGCCCAGTGCATTCCCTCTACCCACCATCTGGCTCCTGTTCTGTCTAGGTTTTGCCCCCCTCTCCCCAACTCTGTGGCGAGCACTGCATACAGGAGCCCTCTTGAGCTATCCGCCATCTTGAAACCATTAGGCTTCACTTCCTCACTGAGCAGAAATCATGTGACCAACCGTTCTCCCGGGAAGTGGTTAGGTTTCTAGGCAACGGGAGAGATCCACCCACATCAATGATTGGTTCATGCTGTTGTATCTCATTTGCATTTCGGGCAACCAATTGGTTCCCACCAGCTGTATATAACTCGCCATTTCTCTTCAATAAAGAAATAGACAGAAGAAGACGACTTGATCAGCACCTCGTAGTGTGTGTGCGTGTGTTTGTCCCATCTCTCACTCCCTCCCCCAAGGAACTTGTTCCACTGTCCTGCAGGCCAGGACACAATTCAACCCAGTAAATGTTTATAGAGTAAATCTGTGATTATTTCACTTCAAAAACTTAACGTATGTTTCTCCTTAGTAATCACATCTCAATCTCTATGATCCAACTTCATTCTGAACTATGACTTATACCTAATATAAGGAACTTCAAGAAGCTCATGAAAATGGAATTAAAGCATAAGTTTATTTTCTTGCAAAAATACCCCTCTCCAAATACCCCCCAAAAACTCTTTCAAGACCTATATTGTTAGTGGGACCTTGTAGGAAACTAAATGTTATTGGTACAGGTTGAATATCTCTAATCTGAAAATTTAAAATGGGCCATACTCCCAAATCCAAAACTTTTGAATGCCAGCATGATGCTAAGTGAAAAAAATCCACACCTGACCATATGTGATGGGTTGCAATCAAAATGCTACGATACAAAAATACTGTATAAAATTACCTTCTGGCTCTGTGTATGTAAAACATAATGAATATTGTGTTTAGACTTGGATCTCACCCCCCCAAGATAATCTCATTATGTATATGCAAATATCCCAAACTAAAAAAAAGAAAAAAAAAAAGCCCAAAATATTTCTGGCTCCAAGCACTGCAGATAAGGGATATTCAACTCATACAAAAGAATTAACCCAGGGAACTGTGGCCAAATGTCAATCAGGGCCCTCAAGGTTTTCCAGGTGATTTCCTCTATACACTCTGTCTTCCGAGGAGGAGTTACAATGATTCTTCTATCTGCCTTGTTCTGAATTCTGCTTTCCCTATTCTCAATTTCTGTTTAGAGCATCTGTTTCAGCAAAGGCCTCCTTTTGGTATTTTAACCACAGGTTACCCGAGTTTGACATCTGTTGTTTTCATTACTTGAAACTTTTTTTGTGTGTGGTTAAACCTAAGAGCGTGACCTAGGCCTATATTTCTACTTAGACCAGAAACTCACATAACTTAAAATCACAAGATGGATACCATAGACTACTTTCCCTCTCAAGATTCTTATTGTCCTTCTTTGGTCCCATTATAAAGCCAATAATTTCCTCACCACCCTGTTTGATGGCATAATCACAGTGACCATTTGCATTTATAACTCAACATAATTTTTCTTTTCTGGCCAACTGGATTTACTTTGTGTGAATCATTGTTAGATCCAATCCAAGAAGAAACTATTATCATATGCCAAATTCATATTAAGAATGAAATTGCAATTTCAAACCTGGAAAAAAAAGAGATATAGTCTAAATAATTTCTGTTATAACTTTTCCATTTGATCTCCAAATATATATTAGGAAAAAATATTGTGCTTTTGCACCCTTAGTGAAATGCAGCCAATAACCTAGGCTGGCTTTTTAAGTCACTGGATTGGGATTAATTTAATTCATTGGCCAATTCCAAACACATCAATTGTATCAGCAAGGCAATATTTAGAAAGGCCCTGGCCATCTGCACAGACGACAACGCACTTGACAGCACTCCTTTCTCGAGCAATGACTCAAATCAGCTAGACTGAAAATAAATCTAAAGGGTACACAGCTGTCATGTAGCTGCAAGTAGCTTTCTGAACAATAACTTGATTCATTTTTCCTTATTTATACAACTGGTTTTGCAAACAGAATTGCAATCCACCGAGTGCACTTTCTCCTCCCTGGAGAATTCTCAGAGTCCTAGAGAGGGCTCTATCGCAGCACTTTGCTCTGAGGGATAACAAACTGCACATGGTGATTTCCCGATTTTTATTTAATGAGAGAGATATTGAAACTCAATAATCTATATGAACCATTTACAAAATAAGGACTCCAAAATTTGATAGTAAAATTTTATCAAAGGCACGTTATCCTGAAGTTTGAGGGGCAGGCAGGTACCAAACTGGATTTCTGTATCTATTGGTATAGACACAGATAGAACATCGTTAACACTCCTTTGTTTTAGAGAGTTTTGCTATAGGGTACACATGCCTTGGAGAGATAGAGACAGAGAGACAGAAGGCAACAAATCACCCACCAGCAGAGATAGCCAAACTCTTTCTCCTCCAGTCTCTTCTCAGGATTTTGGGCATGAACACACACACATGCCTGGTGTGTTTCGAGGCTCCAAGTCTGGGACTCGAATCACAATCGACGATGTGGTAGTGCAGTAACATAACCACTACACCATCTGCTGGTCCCATAACACTCTTTAATTATTGTTTTATCTTCTTATGGAAAATTTCGAAAGTACAGAGAGCCCACGTGTTCATCACGGAGACTATTATAATATCCACTCTTATTGGATAATATGAAACAAAGTCTACGTATTATTTTTATCAGTCTTATTTCAGTATGCATTGTTAAAGTAGAGTCTTTAAAACATAACCACAATATCTGGGGCTGGCAAGTGGCATGGTGGTTAAAGGTGCTGGACTCCCACAGGGCCGATCATGGTTCAAGTCTCGGACCTGGTGGTTTGCTTTCTCACTTCCTTTCTCTCTCTCTGTCTCTCTCTGATCAAACTGGAAAATAATAATGATAATAATAATAAATAAAGTTAAATAAAATAATTGTTTAAAAAAATAAAATAAAACATATAACCACAATATCATAATCATGCCCAGTGCTATGCTGATGGGTATTTAACAATTTTTTAAAAGGTTATTATTTACAGTCTTTGCCCTTTTCTGTGGTGTAAATACTCCTTCCATGGCCAATTTCAAACAACATGATGTCACTAAACATAAAGTCGAGAAGAGATGTGTAGTACACTATTACATAGTAGTTCCACTCTGCAGATGTGTTAGACAAAAAAATCTTAAAAGCATAGATAACAGCAAGTTACAGTAAAAATAATTAGGAAGTATTAAGTTTCAAGTATTAATTGTTATCACTTTAATTGTAAGTTTATATAATTCTTGTATATGTCTGGCTTGTAAAATTCCTAAAAATATAAATTTTCATAAGCCAATGTGTGTCAGCTCTAGCATACCACTAAATCACATCCAAATAATAATTCCTCACTATTACCAATTTTCCAAACATCTCTGCCACATCTCTTTTCTCCTTAGCAATAGAGAAATAATTTTAAGCAGAAAAAAAGGAATTTTGCTTCAGAACGACACACCAAAGTTAAGCTTTTCAAATGGCTTAGTGCTACTTTCTGTGTGTAAATCAGTCTGCTGTTAGACTGTTTCCAGGAGGTTAAATTAGAAGCCATTGTGACTGTATGCCTCTGTATCACTGGGAATCATAGTAATGTTCTAATTTTGGTTTCAGTACTCATCTTCAAGGCCTCAGAAGAGAAGGAATTTGAAAAGGAGTAGAAGAAAAACTTGGAAGACAAAATATGTCCCTTCGAGGTGGTCAACCATAAGTTGGAGGAATGTTCTAAGAAGATATGACACCATTCTGTGCCTAACAGATCCCACCATTGAAACATAGTTTGCAAAAAGCCTTTTTTAAATGCGCCCTACCAATAGCCTGACTGCCTAGTGGTTAAGGAAAATGGAACCCACATGGCCAACTGGTTTAAATCCCAGCCCTGGTGGGCACATGTGGGTGCATCCCCCAAATCTCAACAGGATGGACAAAAGGAGAGGGGGGATTGTGACATGGCCAAAACCCATGAAGAAGTGATTTCTCCCTTTCTCTTTCTCTTTCTTTCAAATGAGCACAGGCACCCTCTGGCAATGAACAAGATCAACAGCAACAATGAAAAAACAAAAAGAACACAAAATAAGTTGTTTTCCGAAACGGAATATAGCACATGAGATCTGATAGTGCCTAAGCAGATAGTGGGGTGCAGTGACCACCATCTTGAGGATGCCATGTTGGACTGCAATACCACCTTGAGCTCACAG